CCTGCCACTGGATTTCGGGTCTGCCTGGGGGACCCCGGACAAGCTCGTCATGAGGCCCTTTTTCTAAATCCCGGGCTCCATGGCGTGGCAGGGGCCATGCATCCGTGTAGCAGCAGTGAAGGGCTGCGGGGACCTTCTGGGAAGTGGGGACTCCCTGGGCCAGGCCACGCTGGATTGGGGGTGTGGGGCCCGGGCGTTGGAGACCCTGGTCAGGGCGGAGCGGGCAGGGGCCTCTGTCCACACACCAGGCCTTCAAACGCTCAGTGAGGCCACGGCGGGGAGGGCAGGGCTGTGGGAGGAGGCTGTGGGGGGGCCAGCGCCTAGCCCAGGCTGGGGGCTGGGGAGGGGTCCACGCTGTGTTCACGTGGCTCTGCCAGGCCTTCTGAGCTGCCCAAGTCCCTCACGCCCCCCCAGACCTGGCCTCTTGAGAAGCGCACGATCCTTCCTCGGGCTTTGTTCTCCTAATCTGGCTCCGGGCCGGGGGCTTCCCTGTCCCTGCCGTGGGTCCCTCATTAGCTGCCCATTAATGTGCATGACTTAGAAATTGGCCACTGGGCTGTGAAATTCCAGGCAAGGAGGAAAACCTCTTAAATCGGAGAGACTTTGATATCCACCCTCTGCCGGCACCCCCGGGGCGGTGACCTTTCCCAAGCTGTGGAGGGCACCCTGTGGGGGCCCATCTGCAGTGGGCGGGCGGGTGGCCACCCCCGGCTCAGCCCAGCTCTGCCAGGCCGGCAGCAGCGCTGGGCAGAAGACCCGGGATACACAAAGGTGCACCTGTGGGGCCTGGTGGAGGCGGCACGGCCAAGGCTTAGTGGGGCTCCCAGCCGGGGGCCACCCATCCCAGACCTCCCCAGAGAAGGCGGCGGAGGACAGGCTGGGGGCTCTATGGCAGAGGGGCTGGAACTCACTTCCCCACACCCCTTAGGGTGTGGACAGTGACCGAGACACTGGTGGCACCGGTGGGGAGAGCCCACGCACGGAGGGAGGGCTGTGCGTCAGCCGTCAGTGACAAGACAGAAGCACCGGTCCCAGGCGCTCCCTGCTTCTGGGCTTCCTTTGGCCCAGGTGGGTCTTCTGGGGCAGCGTTCCAGCCCCCCAGGAGCTCCTCGACCTACGGGCGCCAGCCCCGTCCCCGGCTTTGGACTCCACTGGCCTGAGGGGGCAGGCCCTAACGCCCCCTCAAGAATCCACCGTGCTGTGAGCGTAAGCCCAGGTCACCGCTGTTCGGAGCGGGCATGGTCCCCAGCGGGCCGCTCTGTGCCTTGCCCCCCCCCCCCCCGGAAGCTTAATAAACGCCAGTGCAGCAGGAGCTGCGGCAGCTCACCTGGGACCCACGGGACACGAGCACCTGACGGCGGCCCCACACGGTCCACTCTGCACGAGCTCAGCGTAGGAGCCCGAGATGGCCGGGGACCTGGGCCACCCAGGGGAGCCCTCCTGTCACCGGGGTGTCCCCATCACAGGGCCCAGTGGCATCACCGCAGCAGACAGCAGCAGGCCGGAGCGACGTGTGTGAAGGTGCAGGCAGGGCCGCGTGCCGCGGGCTCTGGGTGGCCTCTGGCAGCTGGGAAAGCGAGGAATCCGAGCTCCCCTGGGGCTCCCAGAGGGCATGAGCACACTGACGCCCGACTCAGCCCCGGGACGACGACTCTGCACCCCCCACTTCCAGAGCCGTGGCGCACACACGTGTTGCCCTAACCCCCATGTGCGCAGACTTGTGAGTCCTGCCCTGTGGCTCCCCTGGGCCTGCAGGTGACTGCCCAGGGCACAGGCCTTGCCAGGTCCCACCGGCCCCTCCCTCTCTCTCGAGGGGCTGGTTCTCCAGCGTCGCCGTCACGAGCCCCCGAGTGCAGGTGAAGGCAGGAAGGCATCTAAAGCCTGGGGGTGACAGGAAGTGCTCTCAAACCACGGTCAAGTTCACTCTCGTCCTGCCCCCTGGGGGGGGGGAGCCTGTCAGCAGCCACGGCCCTGACCCCTTGGTCCAAACTCACACACTGGCCTGTGCAGCCAGCCTCTCCCAGCCTGCACCGCCCCCCCCCCTTCAGCCCTCCGACACCGTCCCACCCGGTGGCTTTACGCAGTCACGGCGCCTTGCAACACCCCGCTATGTGATTCCAGAACACGCATCGCCCCTTCCCCCAGCCCCTGGCAACTGCTAACCTACTTCCTGTCTCTAGGGACGTGCTCAGCCTACACACCTACAAAGGGGAGCACGCAAGACGAAGCCTTTCACATCCGGCTTCTTGCACTCGGGCCAGCGTTTTAAAAGCGCATGCACACGGCGGCACGGGGCACGAGTTCACTCCTCTGCGCAGGGAGGCGCAGGCCAGTCACCCAGGCTGGACCTGTGAACTGTGACACCAGCAGCCCAGCTACGACGGGCACCCACAGGGTTCTGTCGGAACGCCTGGAGGTGTTCGTCCGGAGGCGGATGCTTGATTGCCTGGAATCTGCCACGGGGAGCTCTGAAAACAGCCTCCCAGGCCCATCCCAAGGGAGAGATGCCGTGAATCTGGGGCGAGCCCTAAGACCTATTTCTTACCTTCCCCGCAAACGAGAGCACACGAAACCGTACCGAGCTGACGTCCGCTTCAGCGGGAGGCACCGGCCGGAACCGCCACTCACACTTCACTGTGTGGAGGATGCTGACCGGGGAGCCCTCGCCGCTCCATTCTGTGGCCAGGACGTCGACCCCTAAGTAACTCCCATGACTTTCAGAGAGGGTGCATCCTCCACCTGCCGTGGGGCCGGACCTGGGGGCTGGGCACGCTGCCTGGAACCTCACCGGCTCCCAGAGGCGCGTGCCCGGCCGGGGGCCAGTGCGGTCACTGCTGGGGCAGCGTACCAGGCGCAGCCAAAGGTTTTCAGAGCCACTGTGCACCGGACCTGCTCCCAGGTGAGCAGGGGACGGACAACTGCGCACGCAGAGAGCAGCAGACACGGGGATCCTGGACAGGGGCAAAGGGCACCGCAGAAGCCGCCGTGTGCATCTCCCTCGGCACACAGCGTCCGGAAGCCTCCCCAGCGCGGCCCCGCGGCGGCTGCTTTTCCATGCTGTCTTCATAGACTTGCCTTCGCCACCAGCTGTCCTGCTCTGCCCTTCCCTGCCTCGGCCTGGACACTGCCTCTCTCCCCAGACCCACGTGGCCCCCGGTCACCAGCACTGGGGGCCTGAGCAGTGTCCAGGAACGCACGTACTCTGGGTGTAGACCAGCTGTTTGACAGCACGAGGACAAAGCTGGTGGTGACCACAAGTGTGCGCAGACAGCGAGCTGCAGAGCCGGCCAGAAACCCTCCGGTGGGCGCAACAGCAGAGACGCGCCCTGTGTGGACTCCAAGTCCCCAAGCAGACAGGCAGACGCAAGGCCGCGCTGCCGCTGGGGACCTGATCCCCAGCTCAGAGCTCCTGGGTCTGGAACTTCATCCCACACCACACCCCTGCCGGGCCAGGACCCCATTATGGTGAAAGCCAAAACACTGATGCACACAGAGAAGGTATTTCTTTCATTCAGCAGTTTGCCAACACTAAACTGGGGAGGTCTTACGTAATTGAGATTTTAGGCTTCTCTTAAAAGCTCGGCCGTCCAACACAGGGCCCTGGGTGCTAGAGGCTCCCAGCGCACCACCCGTCGCTGTCCCATGACACCCCGGTGACCCTGGCTATGAGCGCTGGACGGTGACTGCGCCCGGGAGAGGCCTGGCAGGGAGACAAGAGTCCCGGTTCCTCATCCACAAGAGGAGAAGTGGCACCAGGACCACGGCCTCGCGCCGGGACACGCAGGCTGCCTGGCGGACACCACACACGGGCACTTCGGGGCTGCTGATTCCGCGCCGGGCAGCGGGCGCTTCCGGGGTCCTCAGTGAACGAGGGCAGGGAGCACAAGGCTTCCTCAGACAGCGCCTCCCAGGTCCCGCACGCAACAGCAGCCGGCAGCCAGGTAAACCTGCGAGTCGCCCACCCGAGCTGCCCAGGACGCGAGGTCCCCAGTGGGAGGCGGGGCCTCAGGGCACTTCCCTCTGCCCACGAGCAGCCGTAGACAGCACCCACTCTCCTTCCAGGCGGGGCCGTGCCGTGGGGGCTGGGCGTGTGGCCGGCGTGCAGGGGGCACACACACGGGTCAGGCCACCTCGGCGGGGCCAGGGCTCCTCAGCTCCCACACCTGACGCATGGCAACCAAGGACAGGGGGAACCTGACGTCACCGAGATGAGTCTTCAGGCTTCCGAGGATACCGCGGGGAGACTGAAAGGACAACCCACAGCGTGACAGAAACTACTCGCGTGTCAGGCACCTGATACGGGACAGGGACCAGGGACAAAGAATTCCGACAGTTCCGTAATCAAAAGATGAATGACACAACTCAGGGATGGGCAAAGGCTCTGAACGGCCGCTTCTCCACAGGAGACAGGCAGACGGCCGGAGGCACACGAAGAAACGGCCGCCATCATTACTGCTGAGGGCGCGGTGAGCTGCAACCCCTCGACCCCCGCTGGGGGGCAGCACTGGGCACCGGCCAGGATGCGCCATGACCAGCTCTGGCGCACGGCTGGCAAACCGCACACCAACGCGGCTGCTGTGGGAAAGCCCGGCGACTCCTCAGAGGGCGTTCCCAGATGTGCGGGCACGGCCCGAGCTCACGGAAAATGCCTCGTACCCTTTAGTTCCATTTTCCCGCGGACTTCCTGGACCACCCTCATCTACTTGGCAGAAATTAAAAGCTAACGTTCACACAAGACCTCGCCCACAGCCATCACAAACCGAGACCGGCTCCCACGTGTGCACAGCCGGGTCACACGTGCCACGCCCGGGGGCCCGGGAGGTGCTGAGCTGGGCGCAGCAGCAGCTGCAAAGGACCACGCGTTGCAGGGGCCCCTGAGCGGACACGGCCAGGACAGGCAGATGCAGAGTCACAAGGCAGGGACGCGAGGGCAGCGGGAGGGGAGGGCGGGGTAGACGAAAACCTGCCACCCAATGAACACAGGAAAACCCACTCAGCTGTATGCTTTAAAATGGAGAATTTTATGGTATGTGAATTTTATCTCAATAAAAAAGGGACAGGCTGGTTCAGAACTCATTCCAGGTTGTCATCAAAGAGAAAAGCAGAGGTGGAAAAAGACCCCAGCGCAGGCCCGTCAGCGTCACACAGGGGATGCCGTCTTCACCCACAACGGTGAAATCGAGATCCCCAATTACAAAACAGATGGCAGTGGACAGTTATAAAAATAAAGCGAAGGTCTATGTTTCTGATTTGTGCAGGTTTCCTCAAACCAGTCTGTCGCTCATCCAAAAGGAGATCATGGAATCTGTGTTCTTCCGCGACGACGTAATAGTAAAAACTGCATTCCACTGACACAAAAAATAGCTTCGCTTCCAATAGCACAAGTCTTTAAAGTGACTTTTCCCCAACAATAAATATAGAAAACAGCCATTAACAAGCAGACTTCAGCTTGGTCAGGGCGTGCCGCCGGTCCGGGAAGTGCGTCTTTCCCCTCAGGCTGGCAGCGCGGGCCGCCTCGGCAGCTCCCCCCGGGGTCTTTGGTGCTCACAGCTGCCCAGCGTGAAGCCACCTGAGGCTGAGCAGGAGTCCCTCCGGCTGGGCCGAGCATCACAGGACGGGGGGCTCATTCGGCACGGCCGCTGGAGCCCTGCACGGAGGCGGCCCTCACAGCTGCACCTGCCCATGGCGGCTCGCGTGGTCAGTCTCTGGTCACACCGACGGGGTCTTCGGGGGGTGCACCTGCTGCATGAGCTGGGGGCGCTTCACCCTGGGCTTCCTCCGCTTCGGCCTGCTCTTGGCCTTGTTGATCTGTACCACAAAGAAGGCCAGGACCACCATGGCTCCCAGGAAGGCGAAGACAGGAATGGTCTGACCCACTTCCTGGTTATAGCGGCCAGGCATGATCCCTGCAAGAGGACAGGACAGCCAGTGAGCGACCCGTGTAATGACCCACAGCTCTGCCACCTCGCTGGGCGAGCCGAAGACTCATGAGAAACTAAGCGCTGGCTAATTTCATGAGCTGGGCCCGCGGGACACAGCTGTTTTGAAACCTCAGCAACAGGACACAGGCCACCAACGGAGATGAGCAGGTGACAGGACAGGGTCTGCTTCCTGTGCAGGAGGACACAGCAGGGCCTCTGCCCTGGCCCAGGCTCACCCCAGACAGACGCAGACCCTCCGCCAGAGAAGAGCAACACGACAGGGCTGTGAGGGGCTTTCTGGCTCTCGGTGAGTAGAGCGAGGCCTCCCCCAGTCTGTCAGTCATGGCGTGCTGGGGTCCTACCAGCTGGGGTGGGAGGCAGCACCTTCCACAGATGGCAGCTGTGGCTGGAAACCCGGACATGGCACGAAGGACCCCCAGGGTCGGAATGTCAGCAGACGGCAGCCCGAGCAACACCGAGGGTTCCGGAATTCACACCCGTCAGGCACCCCGTGACCTACGGCAAGGGCCCCACCTGGGCTGGGGTTACCCCTTTCTCGCTCAGTCTCTGGCCAATTCCTGGAATCTGGAGAAGCCCCTCCGGAGCTGTCAACTCCCCAGAGAGCACGAGTTTGACCCCAACTCTACGGGAGTGACCGGGACCACTGCCCCAGGCAGGCGAGGGGAACCTGTCCCACCTGCTGTCTGCAGAGCAGAAGTTCCCCACGAGACACACAAGCCCCAGCCCCGGGCAATCCAGCCCGGCAGCAGGACAGATCGGGATGAGACCTCAGGGGACAAGCTGGCCTCTGCCACCCAGAACCAGCAGCCGACAGGCAGTCCCCCGTGGTACACAGCAGGAGCGCCACCCTCCAGAGCTCTGCTAACACTCAGCCGCCCAAGAGAAGTTCAAGTCGGAAGCCTGTGCAGACTTCTCCAAGCAAAACAACAAAGTCTGTAGCTTTGGGGCCTGCTCTTGGCCTCGTTGATCTGCACCACAAGGACAAGCTCCAACCTCTACGGCTCCCAGGAAGGCAGAGGACTCCTGGGGAGTGAGGGAGGCTACATGAAGAGGACTCAGCCTGACGCTGCCTCATAATGATCCCCTCAAACTCACCTCCAGGAATGTCCCAGGCACCACACTTTCTCCGGGGGAGAGGGGTCGCACTTGAGGCGACTCGATCGGAAGTTGGGTAACACCACTTTGTCCAGGTCGATGGACAGCAGCTTCTGATGCTTCCAGAGATTACTTCAGAAAACGGATGAAACACAGCACACATGAGCAGCTGTAACAGCCTGGAGGCGTTTCCTGACGCGAAACCGCGGAACCACAACAGTCCTCCAAAACCGGAGATTCTGAACACCAACATGCACCACACCGGAAATCCACACTGACCTCGTGTGACCCTTGTAGCCAAAACTTAGACGCGCAGAAGACACTGTACAAAGGACTTTCCAATCTCACGCGGGGTGCTGACGCGACACGTGAGCTTCATGTTGAGACGTGGGGCCCGTCCCTACGCTGTCTCATGAAGGATGTACTAATACTCTAAATCTGCAAGCACTCAAGCCGGGGGACTTCCGGTCCCAGACAGAGGGATCCGGCGAGAGATGCGAGGTGGTTTCCCTGCGCATCTCTCGGAAGCCGGTGCAGCACCAGAGTGACCACTTCCAGCTCCAGAGCAAGCTTCCGCCCGCCCAGGAGACTGTCCCATCCCAGGAGCTGTCTGCCTGCTGGCGGCGGCTTCTTCTTCTTCAATGTATTTATCTGACTGAGAGGTAAAATTACAGCCAGAGAGAGGGGAACACAGAGAGAGTCTTCCATTTGCTGGTTCACTCCCAAATGGCCGCCATGGCCAGAGCTGGGCTGGTCCAAAGCCAGGAGCCAGGAGCTTCTTCCAGGTCTCCCTGTGGATCAGGGGCCCAGACTTGCTCCACCTTCCACTGCCTTCCCAGGGAGCTGGACTGCAAGTGGACAGCCAGTGCTCGAACCAGCACCCATATGGGATGCTGGCACTGCAGGCGGAAGCTTAGCCACTACGCCACAGCACCAGCCCCTTTGTCGGCTTCTAATAATGCCACCGTGAGCCTGGTGGGTGCCTGAGGCTGGAAACATCTCGCAGCCGAGAGACCCCCGGCGAGCCTCTGAAGAGCTGAAACCTTCAGACTCGGGCTGTGCAGCGCGGCCCCGAGCAGCTGCTGATGAGCAAGCACGGAGCTACACAGCAGGAAGGGCCGGTGGGGTGAGGGGCAACATCGTCTTGTCCCGAAGGAAGCCCCCACAGGGAGAGCAGCACAGGCACGGGGAGCGGGGGGGCAGAGGGCGTGGAGCACACTTCATCAGGACCTCAGGCCCACGCAGTCAGAACTGAGGGCACGGAGGGCGTGGACACTTCTGCAGTGCCAAGAACAAATGGAAAACCTGTGACTGTTGTGGCTTGCAACTGAAGAAAAACAAGATGTTTGCAAATTACGAATTCCCTGTCTTTATTGCTCATCCACCTGGAAACAGCTGGCCTGTGCCGTTCCTCTGGCTGTGTGCAAAGGCCCGGCCTGTCTGCTCTCAGGGGAAGGTCGATGGCGAGCTGGTGCCCGCCAGGCCTGCAAGAGGCTCGCCAGGCAGGAAGCAGGGGACCACAGACGTCCCAGCTGAGGCCCGCGAGGACAACGCGGGGGACGACCGGGGCCTGCTCTGTCTCCCACGACTGAACTCTACATTTCAGGGTCAATCGGCCTGAAAGTCAGACCCATGCACTAACCACAGTCAGTGACACTGAGGCTCTCTGGCTGCAGCAGAACCACGTGGGCTGTCTCCTCACTCCAGCAGGGACTCCCTGCACCTCGGCTTTAAGCACCCGCGACGGCGCTCCCTGGAGAAGCAGCCATGGCGACAGCACACCACATGTGCTCAGAGAGGACCCGCAGCCGGGGGTCCTCCCAGGCTGTGATGGTCACTGCAGGACACCCAGAGCCCACCAAGAGACCGGGGACGGGCCTCCATCCTACACTGAAGCAGACGTGCCCTGGCCCTGCTGAGGGCGTGTGGCGCTGTCTCAGGCTTTTCGGGAGATTCACGACTGTCTGCGGGCCGAGCGTGATCCGCTGAGAGCCGGCAGTGCGCTAAGGAAAAGGGATTACAGACAGCAGCTGAAAATCCAGTTCCAGGAGCCGCCCGTCACCCACCGGGGGGCCAGCTCAGCCTCTGATGATTATCTGACGTGGACAGGGAGGCACCAGAGGACACGCTATTCGCCCCTCAGAGTCCTCTCAGCACTGTGGCCGGCGACAGCACGGCTCCTGGACCGCGAGCAAACGCCGCCCAGAGTAAGAACTGCTGACGGTGGCTGCCGTACAATGCTTGGATTGCAGGCGAGGATAACAATGGGTTATAAATAAGCAGGATGCAAAAATGGAGACTTATCAGGAATTTCTAAATGACGGAATGTTAATGGGAATGGAAAAGTACTCATCAGCTGAAGGTTCAGGAGGAAACATGATAAGACAGCATTCCCGCCCTATCATCGCCTGTCTCTGCAGAGCATATTCTAAGTGCAGACCAATGTCCCCGCTGGAGCACTGGGCACTATCTGTCTACGACGCACAGTACAGCAGAGCCACCTGCGATGCCTTCCCTGCTTACTGCACAGAAGGCAGCCTTCTGTCCTCGACCCCACGCTGCTGGCCACACCAGCCCAGCCATGTGGACCCACGTACAGTGGCGGCTGGAGATGGGGAGGAAAAGGTGGCCGGCAGGGACCTCTCCAGAGGGGGATGGAGGCTGACAGTCCCGACAGCTGTCCTGGGACACCCAGCCCGTGACTCAACACAGCAGACCCCAGCACCCTACTCGGGAGGTGCCCCTTCTCTCGTATGTTGCTCAGGCAGAGCTGCCCAGAGAAGGCCCTGTGGGGACTGAGCTACGTGCAGGCCACGGAGAGGAGCGGCAGGCGTGACTCAACTGAGGCCACGGAAAGGAAGGACAGTCAGTGCGTGAGAGCCGCTGGCAGAGCGGCACCTCCGGGCACTACCGGACACGACAGACGGAGGCCAGCAACGCCGTGGCAGGAAGTGACTGGCACAGAGCACCTTCGGCCAGGCCACGCAGCAGTCACACCTACTCAGAGCACTCTCAGCCAAGGGGCAACAGAGAAAGCCCCGTCTGCATTTTCTCACTGGCATCTCACGGACGAGCACAGCGGCCAGGGCAGCCCTCCCCGCTCCGAGCCAAGAACCGGAGCTTCTGCCAAGGGAGCTTCCAGCAAGCGTCAGCCACAGCTCACCTCCAACAAAAGGCCCGTTTACAAAGCTCTGCCTGCAGGACACACCAGGGAGCTCACTGCCAAAGTCCGCATGGGGTTGTACTAGGAAACGATCAGCAGATCTGAGGACTCGTTATGACACCAAAAATTGCATTCGCTCCCTATCACAGGAGGGGACTCGTCGGCCTGCGCAGGAGTGGGCGTGAGGCGGGCACTGACCTGGGCGCGTTCATTCAAAGGCTGTGGCTTGGCCCAAGACAAGTGTGGACAAGCCGGCAGAGGACGAGGTTTCGGGTCTCCCAAATGGGCTCGAGCACTTTGGAGTACGATGAAGATGGTTTCCTGTGGCGGGAGCAGAGGCAGACAAAGCAGAGTGTCACTACCACGCCACGCAGGAGGGCCTCCTTCCGCCTGCTGAGCTGCCAGTGGGTGCGTGCGCTGCAGGGGCCACAGCGCCTGCTTCCTGCCAGACCACTGCCTACCTCACAGCGGCCACACTGTGCACGACTGGCCACTGCCACACAGCCGGCCACCCCAAGGACGCTAATTCTACATAAGGCTTCGTGCAGACACCCTCCTCCCCGAAAATATTTCATTCTCTGACCACAAAATCCTGCACTTTGGAAACTTTTTATACTTCTGAGGTCTGTCCCGCCCAATGCGGCCTCCGGCCACACGTGGTTACCGAGCCCTCCCTGACAGGTCACATTTCAAACTCAGGTTTTGCTGCATGGGCTGAAGTGTGTATTACAGTGACTTCACCTGTGGCTCGCGGTAGTTTTCCTGGGATCCTGGTCCACTCCAGGAGGACCTGGGAGCCCAGTCCGCGCCATCACAGTCTTCCCACGTGACCCGAGCGACCCTGAACTTCTCTCAGGAAACACGATTCTCACAGGACTCCCCAGCCTGCTGCCTCGGACCTCGGTGTGCTCTCAACACCTGGTGATTCTCCCATCTGTGAGGGGCGGACTGGGGGGGGGGGGCAGGGGACAACGCCTGCATGGGGGGGGCTGCGCCCCTGCCCTAGGGGACTCTGGGAGAGCCCTCCGCAGGGCAGAGCCCCTGCACGCGTCCACTGCAGGGGCGGGGGAGAACAGGCAGCCGCACAAGCCAAAGGGCTCCATTCGCAGGCAAGGTGCAATGCCCCAGCACCCCTGGCTGGTTCCGGTCACCACGAGACATCGTGGCCTACTCACCTTCCATCTCTGGAGGAGCCGTGCCGCTCCGCTGGGGGACGATGCCGGTTCCCCGAGTGACTGAGCTGGGCGGGGTCACCCCGTAGGACGTGTACTAAGGAGCGCGTCCAGGAGCCAAAAGCAGTCTGCACAACAACAAGCATGCCGTTTAGGAATTCCCTTTCGTGAGAATGAAAAACTGCAGGAACACAGAAGCTAGCTAGCTCCCACAGGAGGGGACTGCGGTTCACAAGTCGGAAGTTTGCGTCAAGGCAAACCCAACACATTGCTGATTGCCCTGATTCACGTGAAACCCACAGCCCCACGGTCAGTGCCCACCCGCTCCGCTCAGCACAGGTGGGCACGACAACTCGGGCTCACTGCAGGCTCGGGCTCCAGGCGGTCAGCCCCAACTGGACACTGGGCTGGGCCAACGGCTCGAGCACTACACACGGCTCTGGGCCCTGCGGGGCAAGGACAGAATGGAACCTGATGAGGGAAGAATGGCCTCAGACAGAGGCTCCAGACCAACAGGAGAGGGGCCTGGGGAACCACAGCTCTGCCAGGGCCAGAGACGCTCCGGGGAGAAGCACCGCACGCGCACCACGGGGGCCGCACGGGGGAGCCTCTTCACTGGCCAGCTGACCACCCCGGCAGGAAGGCACAGCATGGCCAGTCTCTCTTGGGGCCCTCAGAACGCAAATGTTGGGCATCACAGCTCCCATTCCAAGAGCCACATATATGGACCCTTCCCATACTGG